TCCATGACCTTTGCCTTGGGGACGGACGCCACAACACGGCCCAAAGCTGCGTTCACCGCATCCCAATCCGCCCGGGAAGTCACACCGTTGGGACCTGAGATGCTTCCGATGGCCTTGTGATGGGCCTCCGCCGCTGCCTTCAAGAGCTTGGGGTCTGCTGCCGCTCCCATCTCAATCATCTTGTCAATTGCCTTGAGAGCCTCAAGTGGTTGGAACTTGCCAGGAGCTTGCAAAAAGATGCCGTTGTTCCAGTCCACTTCCTTCGCGAAGTCATAGGAAGCATCACCGAGCTTCTTGGCTGCATCACCGATCTCATCGGCAAAGGCGGCTGGAGCCATCATCATGCCGGCTGCGAATGCAGCTGCCACAGGCGCATGTTTTCTCAAGGGCCCGGGCACAAAACTCAAGCTGTTGCAAAAGTTGTACAAAGCGACCAGCGCAGCAGCCACGCTCAAGACCTTCCACGAAGAACGTGCCATGATTCCACGGGAAGTACGGGGTACTTTGCTGCGTGCAACAGCGAGTGGAGCCTAAAAAACTCCAGCACACTGACAATTCCCCCACTTGCAAACATGCAAATGAATAGATCTTGCCATATCTCACCTCAAGCCCAAGCGACTTTTGCATGACTTCTGTACATTCACGGCCATGCGAAACAAGAAAGAAGTCAAAACACGTCTATTCTAAGTTGTTTGGCTTCATGTAGTTCTGGGACGTCTAAAGGTCAGTCCTGATCAGGATCAAAATTAGCAGGTACGCATCCCTTCTTCCACTGATGAGATCCAAATGCTGTCATCGGCTATCAAGCTGAAGGAAACTGTACTATTTCGCAACTGTTGACAACAAACAACAACTGCTCCAGTCTCCCACACTGTAGAGGAGGTTCAAGAAGGAATTGTGGCCTTCAAAGGGATGGCCCTCAAAGTTACCCACAGTTTAGCGGCACTGTGGCGCCACTTCAAAAACTGTCATCAGAATCATCAGCGCTGAGAAGCTTCCACCACATCCTTGAAGGTGTAGAAGCCCTTTGCAGCGGCAACTGCATCAAGAGGATTCACCGTGGAGAACATGTTGTTGGGGACGGTTCCATCCACCACTGCGGCCATCGAGTTGTACACATCCATCACTGTGGCTTTTGGCACCGATGCAACAATGCGTCCGATGGCTGCGTTCACTGCCTCGTAGTCTGCAGCAGAGGTCACTCCCTTGGCATCGATGCTGCCAATGGCCTTGTGGTGCGCCTCCGCAGCAGCCTTCAACAAGTTTCCGTCCATCTGGCTGCCCATCACGATCATCTTGTCGATGGCTTTCACCACCTTCGGGGCTGTGGTGTCTGGCAGCGGCTTCAGGTAGATGTCAGACAGCCAGTCCACCTGAAGGCCGTGCACACAAGCAATCCAGCATTCTGGACAATGATAACAATGAACAAACCGCTAGGAAGTAGACATGACATTGCCATTGAAAGAACAGTCAAGAATGTCGGAATAAAATTCCCCGTTGACTTCCCATGCTTCCCCCGCAAACAAAGACACAATGGCTATGACCCCCCAAACAGTCCTTTGCAACCCTGCACCTCTTTCAAGAAGGGATAGGATGCATCTGAAAGGGCCTTTGCAGCCACACCAATGTTGTCTCCAGTGGGCACAGTGGCAGGAGCACCAACTGCGGTCACTTGGTTCCTTGGATTCGTCTGAGGGACTTTGAGGAAACACATATGCTTGTCCTATTCCCCATGGATACAAAATAGAAAGGCATTGAAGGAAAAGAGATGAAACATCACACTGAGCGATTCCAGGCTGCTTTTCCACCACATCCTTGAACTCCAAAAAGCCGTTGTAAGCCTTCTCGGCATCCGCACCATTGACCAAAGACTTCATGTATGCTGGAACGCCAGGGTCAGTGATGTCCTTCACGGCATTGTAGACGTCCATGACCTTTGCCTTGGGGACGGACGCCACAACACGGCCCAAAGCTGCGTTCACCGCATCCCAATCCGCCCGGGAAGTCACACCGTTGGGACCTGAGATGCTTCCGATGGCCTTGTGATGGGCCTCCGCCGCTGCCTTCAAGAGCTTGGGGTCTGCTGCCGCTCCCATCTCAATCATCTTGTCAATTGCCTTGAGAGC